CCCACCGCAACTGTTTTCCTGTCTGGTATTATCACAAAATCAGTGTACTTACTTCAAGGGCACCTGCAGCCTTCCTGTGCAGGCATTACGCCACTTTTAAACTAAATCTTCAAAATATATAAAAAAAAAATATTAGATTATTATTTTATATTTCAATAAGAAAATTAAAGTTATAGTAATCTCAAAGCCAAGTGTTCTCTTGCTTTGGGCCTCTTCTGTTTATGCAGTGCTTCAACCATAATGCCACAACCTGTTTTAAAATAAGCTTCTGCCTGCAGGACTGTACTTTGACCTCAGCAACACAGCCGCACCCTCTTTTATAATAGGTGAGCTAGTTTCCTTTTTTATGGATTGACAAGCCACGGCGCCAATCGGCTTGTTTTACAGGAAGGTAGGCGGGACTTCCTGTACAGTAGTGCAAGTAATCCAACATGGCGCTTACGTTGCTCGCCTGAGAGTGCAGTGGGAAGCGCTTTAAGTTCAGCTCGATTTCAGTAGTAGAGTTCATTAAAGCGGATCAGGCTTTTAGAAATGAAGGGGAAAGAGCAATCGCCGATGAAGAAGCGCTCCCGGGCGCTGGATGATAGCAGAGACCGAGGAGGAAGCCACCTGAGCAGCAAGAAGAGCGGAGCCCTGTCGGCGGTTAGCGGCAACACGGGTAACGGCTCTGCTTACAGCGGCTCTTCATCCAGGAGGAGCTTACACAACGACAAAAGAGACCTGAGGGATTCGGACGGACACAGCACATCCAGTCGGACTAGCAGCGGCTACGACTACGGAGTTGTTTCCGGGAACAAGCCGCACGGTGGCGCTGACCTCGCCGCGGAATCCTCCAGGCCGGGTTCACGCAGCGACCTAAGGCCTCCGTCAAACCCAGGAAGTGAGTACAAGACTTTGAAAATCAGCGAGCTGGGCTCCCAGCTCAACGACGAGGAAATAGAGGACGGCCTGTTCCACGAGTTCAGGAAGTTTGGGGACGTGAGCGTTAAAATGACCCGAGAAAACGACGAGAGGGTCGCGTTTGTGAACTTCAGGCGACCCGATGACGCCCGGGCTGCCAAACACGCCCGCGGGAAGCTGGTGCTGTACGATCGGCCGCTGAAAATAGAGACAGTCTACATGAGCAGACGGAGGAGCCGCTCCCCTGTTGCTAAAGACGGCTTCCCCGCGGGACACAGACCCCTACACGCTCAGAAAGCTCTGTCTCCCTCAGGCATGGGGTTCAGAGACTACCGGCTACAGCAGCTGGCTCTGGGCCGTCTGCCCCCTCCCCCTCTGCCGCCTCCTCACCTCAGAGACGTGGACAGAGACAGAGATTTTCCCGTGTATGAAGGCAGAAACAGACCGCCTTACATTCCCGAGTGTTTCCGCGATGAGGACATGTTGAGCCCCGAGGACGACCAGAGGGCAAACAGGACTTTGTTTTTGGGCAATTTGGACGTGACTGTGACGGAGAGTGACCTGAGAAGGGCGTTTGACAGGTTTGGAGTGATTACAGAGGTGGACATTAAGCGCACAGTGAGAGGCCAGAGCAACACCTATGGATTCATCAAGTTTGAGAACCTTGACATGGCTCATCGGGCCAAAGTGGCCATGGCTGGGAAAATCCTGGGCCACAGCCCGATTAAAATAGGATATGGGAAACCTACGCCCTCGACCAGGCTGTGGGTGGGGGGGCTCGGGCCTTGGGTTCCACTTGCTGCACTTGCCAAAGAGTTTGACCGCTTCGGGACCATCAGGACTATAGACTACAGGAAAGGTGATGCGTGGGCTTATATCCAGTATGAGAGCCTGGATGCTGCTCAGGCTGGGTATACTCACATGCGTGGCTTCCCTCTCGGTGGCCCCGACAGGAGACTCAGAGTGGACTTTGCAGAAGCAGAGACTCGCTACCAGCAGCAGTATACGCAGCTTCCTCTCCCCCTGCCACACTATGAATTAGCCACCGAGCCATATTCACACCGCCTTTCTGATCCAGTGAGAGCGAGAGAGCGGTCCCCTCCACTTCCTGCTCGCTTCAGAGACCGGGATCTCTACCCTGCTGAATATTCTGGCCTCGGTGCACATGAGAGGATGCGAGGTTTTGACCCGGCAGACCGTCTGGACAGGCGCTGGTCACTAGAACGGGAGCGGGAGTTGCAAAGCAGAGATTTGGCCCGCACAAAGAGACCTTTAGATGAGGGTTGGCGGCTGGAGCACTCTCCTGACGGCAGTAACTTTGGTCTGCGGCGTCATGGCAGCTCTCTGGACCGCAGCCCGGGAGGGAGCAGCCGAGATGGGGGGCGCTACAGTGACCCCGAACGCTTGCCTCGCTCTGGCAGAACCTCCCCAGTCAAAGACAGGAAGAACAGCCTGGACGCTGGGTTTGTGGACAAAAAAAGGAGAACACGCAGCCCATCAGAGCCACGCTCCGGCTCCGAAAAGGGGCGCAAACACAAAGTCAGTGACTCCTCCAAGAGCCCAGCGAAGAAGGAGGACCGCTCAGAACATCTTTCCTCCTCTACAAACTCCTCCAAACCCGGTCAGCAGCCTGACCCAGATGCTGAAAAACAGAAGCTGAGTCAGGTCTGGCAGGGCGTCCTCCTGCTGAAGAATAGCAGCTTCCCCACCTCACTGCACCTGCTGGAAGGGGACATGAAGGTGGCTGCCAGTCTGCTTGTGGGCGGCTCTAAAGGGGGCCAAGTTTCCCAACTGAAGATCAGCCAGCGCCTGCGCCTGGACCAGCCGAAGTTGGACGAGGTCTCCCGTCGCATCAAGGCCGCCGGCTCCAGCGGACACGCCATCCTCCTCGCTTTGCCTTGGACATCCGACGACAGCGGTGCCCAGGACGCCGTCAACTCCACCGAGAGACCCCTGAAGAACCTGGTGTCCTACCTGAAGCAGAAAGAGGCGGCAGGTATCATCAGCCTCCCCGCTGGGGGCGGCCGTGACAAGGACCACGGAGGAGTACTACACGCTTTTCCCCCATGTGAGTTTTCCCAGCAGTTCTTGGATGCCTCTGCCAAAGCCTTTGCCAAATCAGAGGATGACTACTTGGTAATGGTTATTATCAGAGGAGCATCATTGAAAACCCCCCCCCCCCAAAAAAACCCCAACAACAACATGTTTCATGTCAGACTCAAAACTGTTAAACTGTGAGATGTAAACACAGGGAGAAGAAGTGGTATTAAAGCAGTGCAGGAGACAAACAGCAGGATGCAGATTTTAAGCTCTCTTACCTGCTTCTATTTCATCCTGGTGAAAGTTTATAAAATTAAAGTCAAACTGAATTATGTACATTTTTATAAGTTGATGAATTTGATTGTTAAATCAGGTGAATTTTCCCTTCTACTATTTAGATATTTAGATTAAATGCACATTACCTGAAGGGTACTATCCTAAGGTGAGTCCAGAGTGAACTACAGGTCTGTGAATCAGTACTGTGTGTGTTGCCTTATCGTTTAAAAAGAACAGGTCCTTTATGTGCTTTTCACACAACTCCTGCCTACAACAATGAGCTGAAGATCCAGAAGAGAGCATTTAGCCTCATTTTTGGTATTTGAAATCAAACTTATGTACACTGTTTTCTTTTTTTTCTTTTCTTCTCCTGATTAAGGAAGTCCATTTGCTTTAAAGCATTATCCGTTGGCCAGTAATTGACCTACACCAGATGTTCGTATGTGTTTGGTTTTCTTTTTCTTTTTTTTCTTGTTTTTGTGACCAAGTAAAACATTTTTTTGAAGACTTCCAAATTCCAACTTTCAGTAAATGATCTTTAAGATGTCAAATTATAGCAGAAAGAGCAGTTAAACAGACCAAATCACTCCATCACTCCTTCTGGATATTCATGTGTAAAGTTAAGGTACACGAGAGCATCAGGAGTTTCAAGTATAATTTACATTACCAGTGCTTTTGTGTGTGTATGTGTATTTGCGTGTGTGTGTGTGTGTGTGTGTGTGTGTGTGTGTGTGTGTGTGTGTGTGTGTGTTGTGTGTGTGTGTGTGTGTGTGTGCGCGCGCCATGTTTCTGAGTCATGTTACTTTATGACTAAGTGGAGGTTTGTCATCGGTGCTTTCACAATTTTCACCAAGCACTTGTACCAGCAGCAGCCGTTTGTGAGGGGATGGACACAAGCAGCAAGCTCTGCGAGCTTTCATTTCTCAAAGGCGTATCAGGATCCAACTACTGATTGATCTTTAAATTATTATTATTATCCATCTGAAATTGTGAAAAATGCTCCCTGATTGACCAAAAGTCCAAAACCCGAGGACTAGATTTTTTTCGTGTGTGTTTGAAATTTTTTGCTTATCGTTATCTTTTAATATTTTAGTAACGAGCTAAATCAACTCCCCCGCAGTCTCAATGCAAATTTTACAAGGCTAGTGTGTGTTGTCGGGCTCTTATTTTGAAGTATGGGGTTGCTTTTTGTGTCCTTCCCTTCTCCGTTGTGTGGTTTGTTTGTTTTTTTTTTATCCACAGTTTGGTTGAGCATTTATTGTTTGATCAGATACCTCACTCAGTTTGTCATGTTTTAACTCACTGATTACAATTACTACCCTAAGAAAGCATATTGTTTTTGTTTTGTTTTGTTTTAAAAAAAAAAAAGAATGATGTAACGCTTCCTAAACTGAACAGGGTATTTTCGCTGAAGGTCTTTTTTTTTTTTTTTTTTTCTTCTTTGCCTGATTGTGAGTTTCCAAAAAAGAAAATGTTGCAGTTCGATCAGAGGACTTTGGTGTACGTTTCCACACACACGAGGAACGGAGGCCATGTTCAACTGGCCATACTTGCCGCCTTCAAAAAGGGACTCATAATGATTGTTTTTCATGCTTTGATTTGAGTACTGTGTTTCAAATGGATAAAGAGTGATTTGTGCTGTATACTCAGGATATCTGAAGAGAGAGAGAAATGGAGATCATCAATGCTCATGGGCCTAAGAAGTATACCTGTCAGCAAAAACACGCAAAGTGCAACATGCACTTCATACATCTTGTCTTAATAAATTTACTCTTTCGTGGGAAACACGAGTGCCTCGGAAGACAACTTTTGTGACCTTTTTCTGTTCTTGGAATTTTCTGTGAAAGTCTTTAAAAAAAAAAGAGAGAGAGAAAAGGGGAAAAAAGGCTTTCACTTTGACAGCAGGAGGCTTCCCGGCAGACGTGAGAGGAAGTGTGAGAATCGAGGGAAAGCCTCTCAGTTCTGTGTTTTCGTGATGCTCGACATGTGTTCGGTGACCTCTCTTGTGAAGAGCTTTTCCATATGACCTTCATTGAGATTGAAATTTGGCGGTGCTAGAATACTTTGTGCAGCCTGTTTGGGAAAGGAAAATGTAGAGTCCCTGTGCCTCCTCAGACCTGTGGCTTATTCCTCGGTCGCCTTTGTGCGTGCGGAGGTGTGACACAGAACCTGCTCATCTGAGAGCTGTTTCTCAACAGGGCTCGTCTCAGCGGGAGCTTTTTCTTCCTCCCCTCATCTGGTTCCAGCAGCGCACTGGTGCACAGTGTGTTTGTTCAGCGTCTGCAGCAGGAGCAGTGTTTGTGTAGTTGCTTATTGTTCTTGCATCGGAGTTTTAAAGAAGAAGATCTCCGTGCTAGGGCCAGACCTGCCGCCTCAGCCTGTCGGAGAGGAGGTCGAGGCGGTGAGACGGCGTCTGCCAAATATCGGAAAGGAAGCGCAGTGGAGACGAGAGATCGCCCCGGTTGAGGCCTGAGCAGGGAATCCTAATCTTTTAGTTGGTTTGTTGATCTGATGATTTATGCACTTTTAAAAAGATTGTGTGCCAGACTGCATATGAAAGCACAGAGACGAGAGGATGACTCCCATCGTAGTTTCCTGGTTGTTCTTCAAACAAAAGGGACGGCTACCCTTCAGCTCCAAGTATCTGCACGGTGCTCCAGCTCAAGGTGTCCCCTGGAGGGGGTGGCGTGAAGCGTAACAGCTTTACGCCTCCTGGCTGCTCCCACCCCTCAGGTAACGTATACTGATGGCCACAACGACACGAGCGGGTACGTATTGTAATGTCAAAGAGCACCACAGGCACACTGTTGCTTAAGTAAAAGCTGGTAAGTGCAGGGGTGAGAAAAAAAATAGCAAAAAAAAAATCAGTTAACATGCAGTAAAATTACAATAATTCTGATTTTGTTAAAAGCATAAAAGCCAGAGATTAGTGTTGAGCTAACATTGTCACAGTTTCTGTCAGTGACAGTCGGTGAACGTTTCTTTCCTGTTGTCTCACCAAATTGCGGTTTTACATCCCATAAACTGCTGTAACCTAGCAAAAGATTTCATTTCATTTCAAAAGGTACTTAAAATTAAGCTCTCTTTGCGTGCATTAACATGTGAGTAAAGTTTAATCTCAGTGAGACGGTGCTGTAGTTGCCTTTAATTGAAACCTTGATTTTTCAAAGTAAGTCAAATATATGTGCAGGAGTGAAACTCATAGATGTAAAATAAATAAATAAAATAACAGAGTAAATGGGAACAGCCAGGAAAATGGAAATGGTTCAGGTGCACTAAAGAACAATGCTTCAGCAGGCCTGAAAGTCTGAGTGACACAGAAGGATAATGTAATGCAGGCAAGATTATTATAGTTCACTAAAAACTAAAATAGGTATAAAAAAAAAAAAAAAAAGACTTTTGAAAAAGAAACAATTTTGTGTACTTTGAAAACTAAAATTAAAAAAAAAGTTTTAGAATTTGGTAAAAATTGTTAGCACAACCTGCCTGACGAGGCTTTGGAAGCCTACAGGACTGTGAGTCGACTGCTTTCAAAAGTTCAGTGTTTATATTGTAGCATCGACACTGATAATCTGAAATCTTGTCTCTGGTGAATGCTCTAAAATGAACAAACGTACTCTGGAAAGTAAAGTTAAAGTAAAATAAAAATAGAAGGTAAAAAAAATCCAAAACTGTAATAACTGAATATATGTGTATATATAATACAAATACACGGTAAACTAAACATTACAAAAATGGGGAAAAGTAGATCTCAAGACCATTATAATTTGTAAGTGCTCTTACCTGCTCTGAGAGAAAGATGTCAATGTTAGAGGCCTGCGGCTGATCCAGATAATGATAGTATTGATACCAGTGATGGTATCGGATGGATACTGGAATACTAGGATCAGTACTTTTTCCATCATCCGAGTTCAGAATGAACCCTCTGAGCTTTTACTAAATATTTGTTCTGAAAATGAAAAACTATAACTCAGACATACACTAGAAACATTTCTTAAACATTTTCCAGTTTTAAAATACATGAAAAGCTGAAATGTGTCTTAAATTTGTATTATTAACTAATTATTGTGGAAAGTAAAAATCACAGTGATTAGTTGGTCAGTAAAATTTATCCAGATTTTGCAAACTGATGATGATTCATCTCATAAATCATTGCACATTGCTCTTCTCTACATAAGCTGCCTTTATAAGATAAACGTATTGGTATTAACAATGCTGTGCTTGTACTAAACTTGCAGTATTGCCCAGTGAAAATAGTGCTGTGTATCATGGATATAGATGCCCTGCAGTACAATCAGTCATCAGCAGGTGCTGTCAGTCACAACAGCCTCAGTTCTTACTCGTTATGATGGCAGTCTGTTTAGTTTACTGTATTCTGCGCTGCTCGCCGCGGTACATGAGGCGTGCAAATTTTGTTTTACAGCTTCAGGTTTAGTCGGTGCAAAGGTTCAGGCCAACGGGATTGCTTGCTAAATCAGAGGAGGTGCAGGCGCTTGGATTTCTGCAGGGATAAAGGTGACTGAAGCTTGATGTTGTTATAGTGAACTAAAATTAGGTGTGGAAACCACAACAAGAATGAACTGAACCATTTAAAAAGTCACATATAAATGAAAACAAAGGGGGAAATGGCCGAGGAGACAGTTTATGCATGTTTATTAAACTTGGGACGTTCACATGAGTGACTGTGAGTCAGCTGTTGATAAAATATTTGGGTTTTTTTCCGTCTTATAAATACCCTCCACATATTAATAATAAAAAAGTAAGCATTTCAAAATAAAATTAAAATGAGCAAACTCAGTGAAACAGTTTGAAATCAAGTGGAAAAACAAAAACCTTTCTATGATTAATGAGTGAGTGTATCCCAGGACCATGCCTTTTAACTTCAAAGGAATTTGCCATCATTTGTGATCATTAGAAATATCAACTGGTGTGAGTATTATTACATCGCCTCCAGCTCTGAATCTAAACCTGCACACCTGGAAACGTTTCTGCTGTTTCACTGAGTTTTAGGCCTGTTTTGTGAAAATCCAGTTCTTTTTGTTTTGAACATGTTTTAAAGATGCTTCTAATCAAAATGTTGAGTGTTTCAGGTCATTCCCTCGACACAGAAGCAAAGAAGAATGAAAACATCCTCAGTGGTTTGCCCTCTGAACGCAAAAAAAAAGCCCGCTTCACACTGTGGGACGCTGGCTCTGTGAGTACAACTTAATTAAATTCAAATCTTAATTAAAGTTTTTTATTGTTTCTCATAATAATGTGAACATCAGCTGATTTTGTGCTTGAATAAAGGCAGCTGTTCTTTAAACGTTTCTGATTGTCTGTGTTTATTTTGTATTTGTTTGAATGATGAACATTGAGCCTTGAGCGGAGCGATATTAAACAGAGGCTTTGTAGCTTATATGGGGGGAAAGTTCAGCTATTTTCTCATAAGTAACATCCAGTCTCCCGTGTGCAGGATGAACACGTTCATTCTGACACAAATAGGAGACGGTCACTTTCATCTTTATGATTGCACAACTAACGTTGCGTTTGCCAGATAAAGGCAGCAACAGTATTCTTCACTTCAGAGGGACTTTTACAGAGAGTAGATAAGAGAAACTAAATCAGGATGTAGTGAAAGTGAGGACACCTGAGAACAGGTGTGGCTTACAGTTGGATCTATAAGCTTTTGGAAGATTAAACATGTTGACAGGAGCCTCTAAAAATGGGGTAAATGGTTGTAAAATGAACAGTTATGTCAATACTTTTCTGAAAAATGTATTTGGTGTCCTCTGTGTTGGTGCACAGAGGCAAAGTGTGTCATCATCAAATACTTATTGAACCTAACTGTGCAGTTTCACCACCGGAGCTGCGTTGTGTTCTTCATCTCATCGAGCTCAGAGTTTATATTTCTCCTGCACTTTTATAAATCACTCCCAGCGTGTTATTCCTTTTTAGGTTAAGCTATGAGGCCGGAGATATTCTGGAGAAAATGTTTATGAGTGTGCTCCCAGATGTTTGTGCAACTGAAGTGAAAAGTTGCTCCAATTGCTTCGATCTGGCAGCTGCTGCAAGAGGAGAACATTTCTCCTGCCGTGTAGTCGTCTTTAGAGTGCATCGGCCATGATTGTTGAGCACGACGGGCTCCGCTCTGTCCCGATGGAGTGAAAAACTGAAACATTGGGAACACCAATATAAGATTAACAAATAATGAAAGACAACAGTGACTGATCTGTTCTTCCACCAGCCTCCATCCTCTGCTTTTGAGACCACCAAAAAAAACATTTCATCTATACAACGTCAGGGCAAATCCTACATACTCCATGCAAGCATGAAAAAATGATCTGAGAAGTGTCCAAGAATATTTTTGCA